CCCCCCCCCCCATCAACCTAGGGTTGAGTGGGTCTGTCTAGACCCTGCAAACTCATCATTAATTAGCTTGTTAAATGGCTGAAAGGAGGGGGCGGGGAATGACAGGGTTCTTTCTGAAACAGCTGTGGTTGTAATTAGGTGGACAGTGTGGCTGGCTGTTATTTATTCCGGTTATGATTACTCTGTGATCAGCTCCTCTGATTGGTGGCTTGGCAGGGAAGGCTCCCTCCTTTCCGAACCACCCATCAGCCTTTAGAATTGTTGGTGCCTGCCTGGGAGGGCCTGTGGGTTTGCCGAAGAAGTGGGTGGTTTTGTCTACTATGTTGTCTGCTATGGGCTTCTCAGCCTGCTAGCCCCCCATCCGTGGCAATGCCCAGGGCCCCCCAACAGGCTCCTGAGCTCCTCAGTGGGCAGCCAAGGTACCCATGTGGCCTGGGATGCCCCATGCCCTTGTGGCCTGCCTGAGCTGAACTGTCTCAGCGTCCAAGAATGTAGACTCCTCTGCCAGTCTTAGCTCAGACAGGCATGAAGCTTGGGGTGCCAAGTGGCACCAGATTGGATAGAGAGGAGCCTGGGGCCAGGGGCCAAGGGCATGGGCAAATTGGAAGAGTGGGTGGTAGAGACCACTAGGTCTCTGGCTTCTCCCAACAGAGCATCTTGTGCAGAAGCCCTCTAGCACCTGGTGTGGCCGGGAGGAGGAGTTCTGCCAGACAGGCTTAGGCGCGGTGGGCACACCTGTCACCGTGCACACTCCCGGTGCCCCTGGCTACATTTTCTGGCTCCCACGTGTCCTCCCCCCTCCATGCACTCACACTTCCTGGGCAGGACTGGGCTTGTGTCTACTGCCTGGGAATGTGCTTGGTTGAGGCTGGGCCCACTGGCCTAGGCTTGGCTGCATTCCAGGGGAGACCAAGGAGCAGGACGATGTCAGGCCAGAGAGCGCTTTGACAGAGAGAAGGAGTGTAGCAGTCGCTCCCGGCTGTCAGAAAGGGTGGCCGCTCTCTTAAGGAAGCGAATTCTGGTCCCCGCAGGGGCATCTGACTGATCCATGGTGTTTCCCTGTCCCCTATCTCAGAGCTTTTTTGTGATCCTGGAAGTTGCTGCCTCTCAAACTGACCCTTCCACCCAAGTGGCAGATAGATGGATCTTGATGGGAGGCACATGGGTGTCTGTGTTCTCTGGAGAGCCTTCTCCACTTACAGAGCACTGGCATACACTGTCTTTCTAACTCTGCAAGGTCAATGGTTTTGTCCTCATTTTTCTGATGAGAGAACTAGACTCAAGGAGGTGAAGTGACTTTACCTGACGATCTCACAGGTAGTATGAAGAAAATTTAGGACTAGGACTTACAAACCAGAGCTCTTTCCCCTCGGCCCTGTGCTGTGGAGCCGGGCTGGGGCCTTCGGCACGAGGGGAGTCAGGTGTGGACCAAGTGGATGCCGCTGAGTGCAGGTGGGCGTGACTCTTGGGAGGCTGGGGTGAGCCTGCTGGTGCTGCGGGGTGAGGGCTGCCTCAGCTCTGCCTGCCCTTCCGAGCGTTTGGTCTCTCTGCAGGCTGCATGTTGTGCCTGGGTCAGTCCACCTTCCTCCGTTTTAACCACCCGGCTGAAGCCAAGTGGATGAAGAGCATGATTCCGGCAGGGGGCCGGGCCCCTGGACCCCCCTACAGTCCTGGCCCGGGTAGGTACCCACTTGGGGCACGTGGCTAGTTTGGTGGCACCCCGTGGACAGTCCTCCTCCTTGCCCACTCCAGCCGCACTTGCAGTGTCAGGGCAGGACAATACCCATGATCTGGGCTTGCTGCCACCTGCCATGGGCCACTGGTGGAGAGTGCCAGGCAGTCTGACCACTGGAAGAGATCCAGGAAGTGCTGCTTGGCTGGAATTGGGGAATCATGTGCCTGAGGGATGGGGGGCTGTGCCGGCCTGTGTCCTACTGCCCTGGAAGGTGCCACCTCGGTGTCTGGGACCCTGACCCTCTTATGTCACTACCAGGGAGCCTCACCCTTGAGGGTGGCCTGTGGGGGCAGAAGGAAGCATCCAGCTGCGCTGCTGTAAGCTCTGGGGTGGGGAGGGGGGTCCCACCTGCTTGTGATCATGTCTTTGGGCCCTGCCCCACCCCCAGGCCATGCCATGCCAGCTGATGGCTCAGTGGAGCAGCTGCAGTTTGTGTGTGAATTATTGATCCCCAGAGGAGAGTTGGGTGATTGTCCCCGGGAGCCAGCACAGCCCCCCTCAGCCCAGCTGCCTAGGGGGCTGGGTGCAGATCAGGAGGCTGCCTATAGGCCTGCCACCCCAGACTTTGCACGGGTATTCAGATGGCTGTGGGATGACAGGTGTCAACGTGCTACTGGGACGGGTGGACATGTGTGTCAGGTGCACCTAGTGGGGTGGCATCAGTGGCTTCAGTGGATCATTTGGGGATCTGAGGAAAGATGGGTGGTCCCTGGGATCACCAGTATCCACGGCAACCCCTCTGCCTTTGGTCCCACACAGTCCCCATAATTTTGGACCCAGACTCAGTCTTGCAAAGCCTTTTTCTTCTCCTTTCTAGGCCCTTGGAGGCTCAGAAGCTTGGGTTCGCAGTCCACTCCCTGGGTAGCTTTACCCTGCTCCCACCCTGGCCTTGTCATGCCACTCCCTCAGCTGTTTGGGGCAGAGGTTTCAGAGACTCCCGGTCGGTTGACAAGGGCTGGGGCAGGGCAAAGGCAGGCTCTTGCTGGCATGGCTTAATGGGCTAATTGAAGGCACTGAGCTGCACTTAGTTGCTGCCCAGCCTGGCTTCCAGGAACTGGCCTTTAGGGCCAGGCCCCTCCCTTGCCTCTGACTGGATAAAGTGGTGCTGCACATACCCCTCGCCCAGCCCTGGAGGATTTGTGTGTGTGTTTTCCTGGGTCTCGGCTGCTGTGTTGGGAGGCCCATATGTCCTGTTAGACTGGGACCTCCTCCTCCCCGGAACTTCTGGCCCGCTCCCCAGCGTGCCCCCACGCCCTTTGCAGAACGTCCATCCACCTGCCCTTCCTGAAGCAGAGCTTGAGGAGGTTGAGGAAACCAAGGCAGGGAGGAACCTAGTCTTAGGGTGAGTAGGCAACAACGAGGCCTAGAAGTGCCTGGCCCTGTTGCCAACTCTGTCCTAAGTCATAAAATGTTAGAGCCAGGAGAGCCCTCTTCCTTTACAGACGAGGCGAAACCAAGGGCAAGTGACTTGGGGAAGTCGCACAGCAGGTTAGTGGCGGAGCTGGCACCGGGGCCCAGATCTCCTGGCTGCTGCTCCAGAGCCTTTCCAGCCCTATTCTGCTGGCAGGACATGCGAGTGCTCGCTCTTGTGCATTTGCAGCTCCCTAGGGCCTAGGAGATGAAGACCAGGTCCTGAGGCCTCTTTGCGTTTTCCTTCACCAGAATCAGAAAGCTTGGTGAATGGGAACCACACCCCACAGCCTGCAACCCAGGGACCCTCAGCCTGTGGCAGCCACAGCTCCCTGGTGAGCTCTATTGAGAAGGACCTGCAGGAGATCATGGACTCACTGGTGCTCGAGGAGCCTGGAGCTGCTGGCAAGAAGCCTGCCGCCACCTCCCCACTGTCACCGATGGCCAATGGTGGCCGCTACCTGCTGTCCCCCCCGACCAGCCCCGGCGCCATGTCTGTGGGCTCCAGCTATGAGAACACCTCTCCAGCCTTCTCTCCGCTCTCCTCACCAGCCAGCAGTGGAAGCTGTGCCAGCCACTCCCCCAGTGGGCAGGAGCCAGCCCCTTCCATGCCCCCCCTGGTGCCTGCCCGGTCCTCTAGCTACCATTTGGCCCTGCAGCCCTCACAGTCCCGACCCAGTGGTGCTCGCCCCTCTGAGAGCCCCCGGCTGGGCAGGAAGGGGGGTCACGAGAGGCCGCCCAGCCCTGGCCTCCGAGGTGTGCGGACAGACAGCCCTGCAGCCACTGTCTTGGCAGTGGCCTGCAGAGCCACCGAGAGCCCCCGGGCGGGGGGGCAGTTGCCCCTGGTGGCGATTGGCCTGAGTGACTACCCGGCTTCCGGTGCCCGTGGCCAACCCACCAGCATTCCTGGCAGCCCCAAGTTCCAGCCACCAGTCCCTGCTCCTCGAAACAAGATTGGCACGCTCCAGGACCGCCCTCCCAGCCCTTTCCGGGAGCTGCCGGGCACTGAGCGGGTGTTGACAACCAGCCCCTCACGCCAGCTGGTGGGCCGAACATTTTCCGATGGGTCCGCTACCCGCACCCTGCAACCTCCCGAGAGCCCCCGCCTAGGCCGGCGGGGCCTGGACAGTATGAGAGAACTGCCTCCCTTGAGCCCATCTCTGTCCCGAAGGGCTCTCTCCCCCATGCCCGCCCGGACCACCCCAGATCCCAAACTAACCAGGGAAGTGGCAGAGAGTCCCCGACCCCGGCGCTGGGCAGCCCACGGGGCTTCACCAGAGGACTTCTCTGTGACGCTGGGGGCGCGGGGCCGTAGGACACGGAGCCCCTCACCCACACTAGGGGAGTCCCTGGCACCCCGCAAGGGCAGCTTCAGTGGCAGGCTGAGCCCGGCTTATAGTCTGGGCTCTTTGACTGGGGCTTCACCCCACCAGAGCCCCCGTGCCCAGAGGAAGCTCTCCAGCGGGGACTTGCGAGTGCCTGTCACTCGGGAGCGGAAAAATAGCATCACAGAGATCAGTGACAATGAGGATGACCTCCTGGAGTACCACCGGCGGCAGCGCCAAGAGCGGCTTCGGGAGCAGGAGATGGAGAGGCTGGTGAGCGGATGCCAGGGAGGCTGCTGGCATCCATGACAGGGGCTCTGCCAGGGTGTGGGCGGGCCAGCTGGCAGGGAGGGAGGGGCCCGTGGACAGGGCCTGGGCTTCGCAAGCTTCTCCACTTCCGGGATACACCGTAGTGACCAGTATCTCAAGGCTCTGGTGCCCTGAACAAGAACTTCCTTTGAAGTCTCTAAGGCCTTATTTCAAATTCACGCTCACTTTGCATTTATTCCATAACACAATGTTTGTTTTCATGTATAAAAGAAGTTTCACATTATGTATCTGAATACAATGAAGCTCTAGGAAAACATACCACATTTATGATGAAGCTTTGTACGTCTCAGGTTGAGAAGCAGGTCTTAATGATGAGAAGGCTGAAGCCCAGAGAGGGGAATGGGTTTGTGCAAGGTCACACAGCAAGTTCTGGCAGAGCTGGAATTGGAACCCACGTCTCCTGTCTCTCCAAGGCTTATTCTTTAGAAAAGCCTCTGGTCCTTCTTTCTTGCTTCTCTTTGGCCTCTATAAATGGGTGGGAGCTGCTCATCCTGGCCTGTGCTGGATCGTCTGGAAATGGGGGTGGCAGGGGGAGAAGAAGAGAACAGGATGGGCAGCCCCTGGCTGATCCAGGTCAGTCTGCGTGACAGTAATTATGTGTGCTGGTGTGTGCGCGTGTGTGTGTGTGCATGCGCACACATGTGGGTGCCTTTGGGGGCTGGGTGTGGTTCTGGGCAGCTGTCCTGGAGATGGCATTTGAGCTGGGTGGGGGCTGGGATTCCCCAGATAGAGCAGGGAGCTTGAGAGGCGCTGGCTGGTGTGTCCACGCTGTAGCACCTGCACAGGAAAATAGATTCTGCCCTC